AAATGCTTGCGAATTTTTTTTTAATCCATTTGATAATCAATATTTTTCAGATGCCTTTGTCCGTGGCTGAAAGGTGCCGAAGGTACTGCGAAAACCTTAGACAATCTCCATCCAGAAAAAGAAGAATGCTGAGAGAACAAAGCATAAAAAAAAATTAAAAATAGCGAATATGAGTAAACATGAAAAAATATCGCGATGAGAAAGCAATGGCGGGTAACTAAACGCAATAAAAAAGACAAAAAGGTGGAAAAGCTAGTCGTACCCAATATTGACAATAGGCAACGTCGCAAATATCGTAGTAAATTACTACGTGAAAACACAGCAAACACAAACACACCAACCCAGATGTGCCTGAACTATATAAAATAAGAGACAGTATATTAGTAAGATACTACCAAAGAAAGAGCTGGAAATATTGCGTAGGCTTTATTGATAAGATTGAAATCAAATATGTGAAATCAAACACTTTTTATGAAGTTCATTTTGTAAAGACAATTAAAGAACAAGGTCGTAATATAAAATTCATAAAAATACCGAAAAATAAAGATATTGAAATTGTTACCAACGTTTCAATAGTTAAAAAAGTTAAATTAACTGCACTTGAGAAATCAGGAGAGTACAGTTTAACTGAAGATTGTGACGAAATATTTAAGAGTATACAACTCTCAATATATTACATTTTTCGATACTGTTAACAGCTTGTATCGTCTCATCTAGACTCTTTTTTTAATAAATATTTTTGAATTTCGCATATTATATTAGTTTTATTTAATAGTATACCCTAATAATTATGTAGGTAATTAAGTACTTATGTCCAGGGTATACCCGGATCACAGGATCAGGTCCGCCATCTCGCACTATGCAATCGTAATGAGCTAAGACTATGAATATATTGATCTCCCTCACTATTTCAAGGGGTATATTCTAGGCAGCCGTTACCCGTTAGTAGTGACGTAAGTATACTTAATTATTATTATTGATTTATAAATAAAATCAAAACAAACAGTTTATGTACAAAAATATTTTACAACCCATGTGCACAACACTTTACAAATTCCGTTGTACAACGTTTTTTTCTTTTTGACACATTCCGTTGTAATTTCCATTGTGTGACTGCGCAAAAAATTTGAGCCTTACCCATAAAACTTTTGTTCAAAAATCACTAATATCGCCTAGCTCCATAGCAGTCCCATAAAAATTGTATATTTATAAAGATTCTTGCTTTCGTTCCTATACGAGTACCTATAGAATACAGAAGCTTGGCGCCAATTCGTTTTCACTTTAATTCGACAACCTCAAACGTCGTTTCTATCGAACTTGGCCCTCTTTTACATTTGTTTTTGGTGGAATTACTAATTATAAATATTAAAAAAAAAACTAATTTCAACAACGCCAAAACGAAAACTTGCAATTGGATTATATAACTAGAAATTTAAGATAACGTGTCTTACCACAGACTATTTTAGTATTGGAATTTAAAATATCCAAACTGGATTGTCAAGATATGGAATAAAACTAATTTTACGCATTTTAATTTGAACGTTTTTAATTCCCGACGTTTTGGGCACTTTACGGCAGCCATGGTGTTTGACGTCTTGCGGCCATAGTCCACCTAAAAGTCTTTAAACTGTTGTCATGTTGTCATAGCTAACAAAGGATACCTTCAAATTTTAATTCATAGTTTTTGATTGTGAATGTGGTCTAATATATTTTTAAATGATTATTGTCATGGAAATAATCCTATTAGCTCAACAAAAGACACTTATATCAATATGAAGACAACCGCTTCAATTTTATTAATTTTATAGTTTTTAACTAAAATCTACATTATGAATTATGTTGATTTCCTTTCAATTAAACTTATGTGGGTATTATATAAAAGTAATAATGGAATAAATTCACCAATTCAGTTTATTAAGAAATATCTCATAAAACTTTTAACGACGGACTCTTGAGATCACCCTCACGAAATTAGCAAGAAGACTTTGAGAACGCACTTACGAAAGTTGCATGATATGCAAATAAGTCCTCAAAATATTTATTATTAGATACTTATTCATAAAAGTTATAACAAGTTGTTTCACGTACTGCTTTTAGAGCTTTCGATTGTTATTTAAGACTAAGACTCCCGCCCCGGCTCCGCCTGGGTAGGATCTGTTAATGTAGCGTTATTTAGGTTTAAGATAATCAAAGACCATTAATTACTTTATCAATTTTTAATTTATTTAAATAAAAATCTCCGAACCGAACCCGGGGTACGATCCCCGCCGGCACCAATGAAGTTGTTAATTGGAATTTTAAGAGTTAACACGTGCGCGACGGAGAAGTCAAACATTAAGAGGAAACTTGCATGTCTGAGAAATTAATAAAAAAATAATATTTCGAAGACGTGAAGTCCATCACCACACGCTAGAACAGAGTGGCGGACATTTTCTTGCCATAAAACCCTCTCAGAGTTGAAAGGAGGCCTGTGCCTTGTGGAGGCGTATTTATGCTGCAAATTTTCTTCACAAAACGCTTTAACCAATTAAATAAGTATATAAAAACATAGTCGAACTCTAGTTCTGATAAATTTGCTGCTGCTTATTTTTTTTGCTTCTTTAAAAAACGATACCTCCGCACTAGGATTTTCTCTTGTATCGTAAGGTCAGTTAACACACATAAATTGCACAACGACAAACATCCAGACGCGGAACAATCATTTGTAGGCCATACAAATATTTGTTCCGTGCGGGATTCGAATCCGCGGCCCCCAGCGCTGGAACTCATTGCTAAGCCACTGCGCCACGGAGACGTTAATTATAAAATATTTAAGAAATGGCTTAACGCGATAAATGTACAGACAAAAGTACACATGTAAGGACAAAAGTAAACAAATAAAATAGTAATAATTTACAACTACCCGGTTCATTACGATTGTAGGAAGCGCGCATGTGTCGGCTCGACCGGGGCAGACCACGCTCTCACGGAATGCCAGTGTAAAATAGAAGTTCAATGCTGCTGGATTTCGTATGGTTTGTTGAGTGTAGAGAACCGGAGACAGTTTTTACTAGAAATGAGGCATTCCATCTTAGTCCTCAGTGGTGACAACGCGTGTGCATTTTGATTCTGAAGCGAGGATAGATGTAGATTTCTATGGGCTACAGCATCTATTTACCATTAGGTGGACTGTGTACTCGCTTGTCTCCCTTAATCTATAAAAAACCGCTTCGTTTCGAGTAAAAAGGGTCTCCAGTTCTCTCCACTCACCATACGAAACACAGCAGCATTTCCACACTATGAGATTATTCTATGAGACGGTATTCTATGAGAGCGTGGTCCCGCCCCGGCCGAACCGAACCATTCATGTCGAAGCCATATATACAATATGTGTAACAAAAACCCTGTAGTTCCCGTTAAGTACGTTACCAGTATAGAAATAACGTTTTTTTAAAAAATTTATTTAAAAAAAAATTGTATGCAAATTGTATGTGATTTTATTACCTCTGCATTGTCTGCGCAGTAAGAGGATTGTCAAAGACCCCGCTTTACTTAGCTTTAGCATCGGCTAGTGTCAGTAAGAGGTAATAAAACCACATAAAATTAAAATTATTTTTTATAAAATAAAAAAGATACTTAACGGGAACCACAGGGTTTTTGTTACATGTTGTATAACTGTAGCGTGGCTCTATCATGTAAAAATCGTAAAGAAGTTTTTATATTATATGAATTGCACATGGTCATACACACAGTTTGGGAACAATTATTTGTTACCATTTAAAAAAGATACTTGCTTCGTGTGGGATTCAATCCCGCGACAAGTAGTCAAACGCTTAGTCACTGCTTACAATACAAGTACCGAGTCATCTTTTTACTTTAAACTTAATGTTACAAATACAAGTACTTATATGATTCTTTTCACCTGTTTTATTTCTCCCTGTTGCCTCTTACGACACCCACGGGATGATAATACTAATATACGGGATAGTACATTTTCTTACGACGTCACTACACGGCGGGAGCAGCATCTTCTTGATAACATTTCAAAATAATAAAATCTTGAGGTTGCCAACGCGCCTTCCAATCGTGGCAACTATGACTAATATGGGAAGACATAATATGTTCAGCCGTGGATACTTGATGGGCTGTACTGAATGCCATTTATTATTTATAAATATGTTTTCTAAACGAAGCGACAGTAGCTTGATGGCAGTGCGCGGACCGCGAACTCAAAAGGTCGTGGTTGGTTCGAATCCGCATTTTAAGCTTTGCCAGGACTGCTTACAGGGAATATTAGTAATTTGGATAGCATGGCTATATGTCTGGTTCGTATTAAAGTGACAGAAGCCTAATTTTTAAGGACTGCGGTTTGCAAATCTCAAAAGTCGAAATTCATGGGTTGGTCGAATGGTTCACACTATTCGACTACTAATGTGAACCTAGTGATTTATTTTTCGCAAGCATTTTAAAGTTATTTGCAGTGGTTAACAAAATTATTATCTAGTTGTGTTAATAACATTGTTAATATTCTTCAAAAAAATCTGTGAAAATATTATATACTATCCTGTAGATAGGTGTCACGAAAATTGGACACGGCATTTGGCATTGCGCCACAGATGGCTAATGACGGGCCCCGTGAGTCAGCACTCAACACACAGGTTGTGTACGACTGCGCGATCGATACTGCACCCCGCCTTCCCCGCACCGGTCGGCGGCCCTCGCCCTCACCCGGGACAACCCGGACCTCCCAATACCCATGCAGAACGCAAGAAACCAGCGCTTTAATTGAACGTCAATTCCGGTCACTAGTTCAAGGTCGCGATCGGAGCGTCCGAAATAGTTGCAATCAGTGTTTTCGCGCTCGTCGATTTTATTTTTAATTATTACGCGTGGCGCAAGGCCGCTCGTGTTCAGCCTGCACAAATGCCGGCGGTCGGGTGCACTCGCGCGCGTGCGACGACGTAGATCACAACAAAGAGTTGTTGCCGTCTGTCCGTTCGTTTCGAGTGCTGTTTGCAGTGATGGCTTCCAAGGTCCTTGTGCCGACTGCGCCCTTCGCTAAGTTGCAAGTAAGCTAAATCAATCATTACTGTCTAACAGGTAAACTTCGGAGTAGAATACAATTTAAACTACAAATTTAAAAAAAATCTAAATCTTTTATATTTTATAATATTATTTGAAACTGTTAAAGTGAAAATTTTGTTTTATAAAATATAAGTCAATGTTTATAAAGTTGTATATAGTTTATAATTTATCTTTTTGGTTTGAAATATTTTAACAATTAATTCATTTATTATAATTCGTATTCGATATTCTGTATTTATAATAATGCTGTTAAAAGGAAAAAAAAATATATTTACATATTTTATTTTCAATTTACGTTGAAGTAAACACGATTCCATTGTTGCAAGTCAGCGACTTTGCGAAGTCAGGTCAATGGCACGATGGAAAAACTCCCTCTTACTACTTACTCGCATGGGGTTTTCCATTTTATATTGTAATATAGAGAGTACTACTTCATCCCCAAACACCTTAACGATTGAGTTCCAAATTCTTTATTTATTTTTTTCCAATATCCTTGACCATGCAACAGGCTTATCTATAAACACAATATAAAAATGAACACTTTAATTCGAACTATAATTTTTTTAACTTTTGACACTTTTCCTCTCTGATTTCTTCTAATAGACAGGGACAGGCAACTTTAAGAAATTAATAATTATTACCATTAAGGGAGCTAAATTTTTGATAGATTTTATAAATGAATTGACTACTTTTCTTTAAAAAAAAAAGTACCTACCCCCCGTTCCATTCATACGCACTGAAAATCAACAGTCTTCGAAAAAATAGTTTTTACTAGGTGATAGAACTTTTGTGGGTTCGTCTGGTTACGTACCACCTTACTTACCAACTTCTGCCACCAATAAACAGTGCCTACACTGCTGTATTCCAATTAGAAAGGTATAGAGAGACTCTTAGCCTCCAGAGATGACAACGCAACTGTAGCCTTCTTTGTTTGATGTTGACTGCATGTGTCCATGATCTCGAATAGCCACTTATCATCAGGTTGTTTGTAAGTTCGTTGTTACTTCAGTTTAATAACAAAAATACACACATTATTTAGGTATTTATTAAATCCAATGGAGCCTCCATTCGGCGTGCGTATACATAAAATTTTCTTCGTATTATAACGCAATGGTGTGTAAACAAAGAAAACAAACTGTTTTTTTTTCTCGCATATTTTCCTCCTACTTCCATCTGAGTATCAATTTCATATTTAGTTCCTTTGTCTCTATTGTGATATATTAACAAAGAAAACACACATCACTGAACACGTAGTGCTTATAAAAATCGTTGTTTCTTATAACTTTATATTAAATGAAGATATCGCAATAATTTATTTTAGATAATGGCCAAGTGTCTAAGAAATAAAACTTAGAAAACCTAATTGAAATCTATCCAGTAGTTTTTTCCGTGATGCGCTCACAACTGCAAACCTCTATCATTATATTAATATAAATTAAATCGACAGCCGAGTGGCATAATAAATGTATATCTTGACTTCTGAGTGAGAACACCTTGGTTGGAACCTCAACTAGCACGAAATGTAAACTGTTGGTTTTTCGTTCTAGATATTTTTATTGTTTGTCTCTCTGATATAGTATCTTAATCTACCTCCGACGGTACCGCATATCGGGCACGCATAGGTTGAGACGATCGATGGCTCTGCACGTAAACCTTAGGCATAAACGGTGGTAACTTATAGGCTAAACGCTCTCAGTAAATTTCACTGTACGCGAGCAACCCAGTTTTGGTACTCGCTCCTTTTTTAATAGCAATTTTAACTTAATTAATAGAAAGTAAAGTAAAGTTACAGCTTATATGCGTAAGTATATGCGTATGCCACTGCTGGGCACAGGTCTCCTGAGGGTTAATAATATAAATAGGTCGGGGAAAAGTTTCTTCGTATTTTATATACAAATTCAACACATTTTTTTTTCAAAGTTTAATATACATTTAATTATAACATACATGTGCCATTTTGTTCGATAACTCGTTGCCTAGGTAGTTGATCTAGGTAGTGACATAATACCGTTGCTGTTGATCTTGGGATTTTTGATCAAAAAAGTGCGACAATTAATTTTGACAGTCCTCTCTTAATACCTAACAGTACCCAAAGAATTATGAAGAGACCGAAACAGATGAAAATCTGAGGGTGTAAGGTCAGGACTATAATATGGTGTATCTATATGGTGTATGTATTGAACACTTCTCAACCAAGCTCGCTCAATTTTTGCTGAGTGGCCAAATATGTGTGTGGTCTGGTGTTATCATGAGGAAAGAACACTCCTTTTCTGTTGATCAATTCCGGCCGTGTTTTCTCAATTTCTTGCTTGAATCTTATTAGTTGCTGGCTGTAGAGATCCGAATCGATGGTTTTGCCCGGCGGTAAAAGCTCATAATAAACGATTCCCCTCCAATCCCACCCTACACACAGTATCACCTTATTGCGTGTCAACCCGGATTTCGTGACCATGATCTTTTTCGGAAGTTCTTGTCGTAAGTGGTCCACTTTTCATCACCAGTGATTAATCTTTTCAAAAATGGTTCGGGTATATTACGTTTCAATAGAGAATCGCAAATGAGTAAACGATTCTTTAGGTTTCTTCCAGTGAGCTGGTCTGGTACCCAAATATCGAGCTATTTTGTTTAGCCAGACTTTTTCAAATGGATCAAAACTGTTTTGTGGTCAATCCTCAATTCCTCGGCTATGTCTCAACTACTAATATCGCCATCTTGCTCCACTTTTTCGAAAATGGCATAGACCTTATCCGTATGAGGGCGTCCAGAGCGAGCTGCATCTTTGACATCAAAATTCCTGGACTGAAAACGCTTCAACCAAATTGTGCTTCTCTTACTGACACTGCATTAGACCCATAAAGGTCACACATTTTTTTTCGCTGCTTGAGTCGCATTTTTCCCTTTTTATGTAATAAAACTTCAGAATAATTATATCGAATTTCTGCGTTAAATTCACTCATTTTGGCGGACAGAAAAACAATTGAAAAATGGCGGGAGAGTGCTTTATTTTGCCTAGTGTGCTAGAGTGCTTTTAGTGCCTTTTTCTCTATGTCCTATATGTATTGATATTAAAACCAGCCAGATACAAACAGTACAACCAAAGAGATTTTTCTTCAATTTTATACAAACAATATACGAAATTTTCCCCGACCTAAAGAAAGTGGAAAGTGTGAGAGTGATATCGAAAGAAGAGTGAATGCAGGAAACAAGGTGAATGGAGCTTTGCACTCCTTTATGAGCAGTCGGAAGGTATCTAACAAGGCTCGTTTGGCTGTGCATGAGGGGGTGTTGGTTCCGACACTCATGTATGGAAGTGAAAGTTCGGTATGGCAGAAGAAACATGAAAGCAGAATAAACGCAGTTGAGATGAGAGCGTTAAGAAGTATGATAGGAGTTAAACTGAGTGATAGGATAAGAAATAGTGAGATAAGGAAACATTGTGGTCTGAAAGAAGACGTAGTGACAAAAATTAAGAAAGGTATGCTGAGATGGTTTGGTCATGTTGAGACAATAAATGAAGAACGATTGACGAAAAAAGTGTATAAGGCGAGTGTGAATGAAAGTGTTGGAAGGGCCTAGGCGGACGTTTCTAGACCAAATGAGGAACATCTTGACAAAAGGCCAGGTCAAAAGTACCCTAAATCGAAGAGCATGTATGAAGAGAATAATGAAAGTGGACGAAGCGAAACAAGTATATAAGGATCGTAGCAAGTGGAAAGAAGTGGTCTCTGCCTACCCCTACGGGAAAGAGGAGTGATTATATTATATGTATTAATTAGGCGTTAATTAAACATTGCGGAAATCCGTTGTATTAAAGATGTTAACAATTTAATAGCTAAGGTCTGCTTAATAAAGTAAAATGATGTGTCTTACCTAGTTTAAAGAGCTCAGAGAGCAAATTTACCACGTGACCGGCAGTGACGAACAATGTCGTGTGAAACCGCAGAATCACAGTTGTACTGAGGAATTAATATATAACGAACATATAATATGAAGTACATACGCTAACACATTTCATTACAGCGTATAAAAGTCCACTGCTGAACACAGGTCTCCCTCATAGATTGCAGTTTTTTTTTATTATTTTATTTGTTATTAGGACGGTGCTACTGCCCGTCACAGGTAATTTCTATATTATAGTTGTAGCATGTATGGGTCGGCTCTACCGCGGAAGGACCACGCTCTCACAGAATACCAGCGTAAAATAGCAGCTTAATGACGCTGTGATTCGTATGGTGAGTATAGAGAACCGGAGACCCTTTTTACTGGAATCGACTCATTCTATCCTAGGATATAAAGAGTCGCGTTGTCACCCCTGAGGACTACCTCAGGGGTGACAACGCGACATTAATTGAGAGTAAATATAGATCTCTATGGGCAACAGCATCCACTTACCATCAGGTGGACTGTGTGCTCATTTGTCACCCATATTCTATAAAAAAAACAACAACTATTTTTGCCGCCAAAAAGCAATGATGCACTGCTGGGTCGTTTAAAGGTGACGAATAAAGGTAAAATGGCAAAGAATCATTGATTTATATATTACATTTGTACGTCTTGTATAACTCAAAGCAAAGAATACTATTTATAAGAAAGCCGGTAATTTAATTACAGGCTGGCAGAGATTTTATGTTAATCCTCAGCTTTAATATTTTTTTATCTATACTAATCTATACTTATTACTTATTACTTATTACTTATTTACTTATAATATAATAAAGCGGAAGAGTTTTTTTTGTTTTTTTGTTTGTTTAAACGCGCTAATCTCTGGAACTACCAGTCCGATTTGAAAAATACTTTTTGTATATTATAGCCAGATTCATGTGAAATAGTATAGGCTATCTAGCAGGATATTTGTTAAGCAAGTCAGAAGAAAAAGCACTACCAAAATGATTTATCCGCGTACGCTGGTGTTATCGTTAGGGATACGAAAATACAATGTTCTAGAAAAATATAGACCTTTACTCCGTCTAAAAAAAAGTCCGCG